AGCTTAATCAGTGAAAATTTGTTTTTAAAATCCAGTTTACCTAGTCATATAGATGAAAAAGAGTGAAGAAATGAGGAAATAAAAAAGCGAGGATAGTGTGAGTAGAGATGCGATAATTAAAAACCTAATAGTCTAATTTAAACGATGACACTAATATTAAAAGTTGAAGTATATTTTTATATATATATGAAGCCAATTCTGCCAATTTCTATATACCCTACTATATTTTTTATACGGGCACACCAATTTTGAAGCCAAACCGGTTCGGAAACTTCCCGTTAATTACTATTATCCCCACATTACTCGAAACGTTTTGGGGATATTTCCAAGCCGTCCCCATCGTGTTCCCGTCCCCGAAACGTCCCCGGTACGGGAACGTCATACCAATTGCCGTCCCCGTGCTACCTAGCTCGGAACTACCCTGGAAAAGAGGCAGAGAGATGGAGATGTGTCTACGTTTTGATGCAAACGAGACTAGGGACGGAAGGTAAGACCTTAGCCTTGGATATTGCGGTTCCCAAGGCCGATGAGGGTGTTGCTGTTGACACTGGGAAAGGGCATGGATCAGTTCCTAGGACTAGGTCCAAGTTAGATTTTGAAGATCGGTATACATTGGAACGTTCATATTTCTTACAAGCCTCTCGCTTGTGTTGAGTTTGTCAGCAAAATTAAGGGGTTCGTCAAAGGCCTTCCCGAGCTGGATTCTCTTGAAGAGTTTCGGGCATACCATTACTAGTCTGAATCCCTCGTGACCTTAAGTGTTTCTCTGTTCTCTTATGTTTTAGTTGGTGTATTCATTTGGCTAACCTTTAACCGTTTGTTTAGACGTTTACAATGTCCAACTTTCTGGTCGAAACATATGATCGCTAGCTAAAGAGGTCTTCTATCAAGAAAGACTTGGACATAAAATATATTTTCTTTTAATAGATAATAAAAAAAGTATTATCAAGAATATTATAAAAAAAAAACTTGAATAATTAACATTGACATAATAGTTTTAACTCAAATAGTAAAATAACATAGTTAAAAAATTGTTTTATGTAACAAAAAATATAATTATATCAATTATTAGATGGGGTAATTGCAAAAATACCACTTTTTGTGTGCACATTTGTAAGAATGCCACTTGGGGTGTCTATTTGCAAAAATACCACCAATTATAGATTTATAAAGCCTATATCTTAAAATTATAAACCCTAAAAAATGTTTTGACCCCTAAACCCTCATAAACCTTCCTAACTAAACTCTAATAGAACATAATTAATCCAAACATAAATAATATAACAAATTTTTTTTTTGAAAAAATAGCATTTTTGTAAAGATTTCAAAAGTGTGGCATTTTTGTAAAGTGGCATTTGAAAAGTGGCATTTTTTGAAATTTTTCTTATTAGATGGGATTGATAATATTAATTTTAATTATTTTTTACCGAAAAGGTTTAAAACATTGTTTTAGAAATTTTTAGAAAGTAATGTCAAAACTGTATATTCTATCATTTAATTATTGTATATATAAATATAATTTTTTTAAAATTAAAAATACTACGTGATTATCCGCGCATACACGCGAGTTTTTCTCATTCATAATTTTTGACAATTTTATAGTTTATAGTGCAATCCACTAAATTATAATTCAGAAGTGTATATGCAAATCGCCTTGTCAAAGAAGAAAGCATTTTCATAAAATCAAGAACGAATACACTTCACCATTGTGAAAAATATATTTGTAATAGCTATGTATAAACAAATGTAGTATGTTGCCCTTGAACTAATGTTTATATTACATAAGTTGAGATCAGTCGAGTCGAAACGTTTCTGTCTTCCAAATAAACCCGAGAGGAGTCGTCGAGGCATGATATATGTTGAATTATAAATCTTTCTTTGTACGCCTCGCAAGTCGCAATAACAGTTTGGGAATCTTGAGAAGTATCACTTATATATTGGAACAATACATGAGAGCAATACTCCAAATTTAAACATAATGTAGACGTGAACATAAAATTTGAGGTGCATTTGAAACTCATTGTCCTTAGATTATTAACTGTGAGGGAAAACTCAAAAACAGAGAGACAGAGTATCATTCCATCAAAACCCAATTTTGTATACACACAACAATATATATAGAGACGATCAATAAGAGAATAACCTGCTTGAGAGCATTTGGTAAAGAGTGACTTGAGCTAATTTGGTTGAGGCATTCAACACCAGACCAGTCTATGAAATCTAGTAGATATACCTGAAAATCAAACACACAATAAAAAAAATTAAATTTTATGAGAATCCATCAATCTTAAACATGAGAAACTTGACCAAGTGATTGATGTTACACTAAGATACAGTGACTTTTGCTGATTATAGAGTTTATGCTTTATCTACAAAACGCTGTCAATAATTTTTGAAAATATTACGTGATTTCTCTATCCGAGAAACTACAAGAGGCTCAGAAGCAAAACAGAAAACATAGTTACTACAACACTTTCACCTTTACCAAATTGAATGTTTCGTTGCTTTGTATAAGATGCTTTATTCACGCTACAAAAAAGCTAAAAAAGTTAATGATTCTCCTAAAAGAGCATTACATGCAGACTGAATACAACCTATGTTAGACAGTTATCATAACACGAAAAGAGACGCAATTGTTTATGGAAGTAGTGACATGATTGCGAAGATGACAGAAGCAGTGTAAACCAGTTAGCTCCCCCACAGTCTAAGAAAAAAGGAAAACCATTTTAGCTTGTTAAGAAAGACCCTACGCATCTAAAAGTATCCAACGTCAATCGCAGTTGAACTTACCAACAAGTTATGGAGATCGCCAATTATATCCGAAGATCCGACAGAATCTGCAACCATAACAAGATGAACAATAAAGAATCAAACTTCCATCAAAAAGAGAAAACACACAAAAGTAGCTTATAAGTTGACATTATTCTAACCAATTTGAGTGCAGAGGAGATTGGTTAACATACGGAAAAATTCTCAATTTACGTTGCAGCTGCAACATATTAATCTTAGTTGAGCTCAGCTCTTGAATTTGTCCAGCCGAATCTACCAAATTTCAATCTAGGAGCCGAATAGTCTCTTTCAACTTGCGGATCCTACTACAACCCTCAACAATTTTCACATTCAAACTCTGTAACTGTCCATGAGTCTCGAAGAACGAATCGGACCTCACTTAGATCTCCTTCACAAGATGCAGCTCCACCACATCAAGATATTGTGACAGCGTCTCTTGAAGCGCTGGATTCTCCGTGAAGCTTGAGAATGGACAAACGGAACGAAATGCAGCGCCGTACTCAAGGGCAAAATCCTTCTTGAAGTAAAGTGAAGGAACCTCACGCAAGCACGCAGCTAAACCCGATACATGACTCTCCTGATCAAATCCAAGAAAGAAATAAATTAAGAGGAGTTGCATATCTATTCGTAGGAGACTGGAAGCAAAAAAATAATCAAGCTAAACCCAATTTATACATTCACAATCGTATTGGTGCAATGCCCATTTGTCACATTACATTGACCGCCACCATAAATCTTTACCTGCAAATTGTAAGCAAATTCACAAAAAGACTCCATTTTTCTTGCCGATTGATTTATAGTGAATTGAATTGAAGAAACTAATCTTAGCGAAATCTCTCTTTTTCAATAACCAACACTTTCTAATAAGGTGAGAGAGTTTTAGCTCTAATTTCTCTATAAACTCCATGTGCTCCACCACCAACAGCAAGCAAAACCTCCTTCTCATCTTTTTCATGTTTTCAATTTTATCGAGAATTTAGCAAATCCAGACAAATAAACAAAGATAAAACCCGAGAATCATATAACTTATGAAATTTTCAGGAATAGAGATTGTTTGAAACTCCCAACTATATTCTCAAAAGGCTTGACCCACAAATCCTCGTCAAAAGTTACGGTTACAAGCGCGTCTATCCAATGCCCGATAGCTGACATTAAAGACTATGTACCATCCCACATATTTCTCCTAGATTCCTCTCCTAATATGCGAAATCAGCATATAATCACGCTTTAGAGGGTTAATTGAATTTGACCGAAATTCTAAATAGGAGTGACAATGGAAATTAAGAAACTAACTAACCAATGAAGAAGACCAAGTTAAGAACGAAGGGGACAAAAACAGAGCATTCAGTCGCGAGAACGCAAAAATGATTTTGCCATCGTGGCTACGGAGAATTTAATGGTGGTTGGATACGGCGAGGCTTATACGGCTAATACTGCAAAGCTAGCTATGCATCCACGTCAATTTCTCACATTTTATAAACTACTTGTCCAAGTTAAAGAAGAGTACCAAATCAGTTTGTTAATTCTGAGGAGCTTCCAGACCGCACATTTAATGAAAGCTGCATGCCTGCATCGAACTAAATAAAGTACTGTTGAAAAATCATCAAAAAACGATACAAAACTAAGGTAAAGAAAGTTATTCACAACTCATGTGCAAGAGTGCGCTAAATGTACCTTTAGTAGAGTTAACTTTTTTGTTGTCTCGTCCTCTCGTTAATCATGTACCACTCTCGGGCGCATCAGCCTTGTCCTATTTGACCACTGCGTCGATTTTGTTTATGTTCAAGTAGAACTACAAACCTTAACAAGTGTGTTTATCCCTGCCATCACATAATACGTATCAGATGGAAAAGTATTTTGCTCACACAAAATAATAAAACAGAGGATGAAGTCCATTCTTCTCTAAATTCACCCCAAACACACTTAAACATTTTGCAATAGTGTTTAACCCAAAATAAGAAGCTCTAAACCAAAACAGCTTGTTTCTGGAGATGACAATTCCGCTAAACAAGTCCACAAAATGTAATAAGAGAAGAAATCACAAATGATCTCCCCAAGTAACGGTGGAGGAGATCGAACGACTCAGAGCATCGAGATTCACTTCTCCTATGACTTTCATATAGTAGATTGATTCCGAACGCTGCTTGATTCGTATTATTGCTGTTGAAAATAATTGTTGAGATAACGGCGACTCACATATTGGAAAGACGTCCAAAGAACATCGTAACTGTCGAGGGAGAGAGATACCAGACGACGAAACGTTTTTTGTGATTTAAAATAAAATAAAATACAAATCCACGTGTGAGTCCTCCCTTCGGTGCTGATGTGTTGGAAGAAGGAGAGAGCCCAATAACTTTTATATAGTATACTAGATCGGTACTCCGCACCTACGCGTGGGTTTGTTTATATAAAATGTTTTTCCCAATCTTTATGATATATTATAGAAACAAATAAATTTGATTGATCATTTGATGTTCTTTTTGCTTACTGTTTTCTTCTTTTGTTTCCTATATTTTCATATTTCAAAGGANAAAAATGATCAAATGTGATTAAATAATTAGTATTTTTTGTGAAGAAAAACAAAACACCGAAGATGAAAACCCCATCTAAGCATTGCTTCAATTTAATCAAAGGTAA